TCCGAGAGTTTTTGGCCAAAAAAGTCGATACTGAAATTGGATCATCCCGCGCGACTCTTGGCTATTCCCAAAAACTGAAGACCGGTTTGAATGGCCACAGATTTTCGAACACTGCCGACATTGAGAGACACGCAACGATTATCTTGAAGAGCATTCCAGAAATATTTTGGGCAAAACTCAGTGAATATATACGTGCACAAGGAGACTGCTTAGAAGGTGACAGCAACCATTAATGTGTAAGCAACTAAATACAGCTTTTACGCGGGCATTCTGGGAACTTAATTGTCACATCTCGTAGAGCGCGGCCGAGGTATAACGCTAAACACTCACCCCCCTATCTAGAGCCGAGGTCAAGAATCAGTAGGCGTTATACCATCTCTCCCCCCAAATTGCTATAGAGCGTACAGTGCGACATGATTACTTTACATAAGTAGGATAAAATGTTGCTTCTACTTTAATGCCAACCTCACTTTCACGATTTTTTTAAACAAGGCTCTATCGTACGAGTCATGGTGGTACATCCATCTGATGGGCAGAAATACAACCACAATGATTAGGTTCTGTTCGTCTTTAATTGAAGCTTCTATATTTAGATCTTACTGTAGTGAGATACGACGACACCGTAAGCACTTGAATCTACTATGCAGTAAATACCAGTCACCTAATAAATCAATGAAGCCGAGAATGTCTACGCACCTCTGTTGTCTCTTGATCACATTTATGGCCGCCCCCGAACACCGAGTTGAACGACTCATTGCACTGATGAATGTCGAGGTTTTCATCTGCTGCAAAGAAGATGCCTGCTGCTTCTCTGAAAAGTTCACAGGAAATCAGAGTCAGCACTTCAATTATTCACTAATTCCAAAGAGCAGAACCATCTCTAGAGACTGACATTCGCTCACCTAGTCAAACCCAATTCCTTTTATGAAAAACGAAGTTCCATTTTCGCGTTCGCAAAAGCCCCGGCCTTCCAAATGGTATCCCCATCAGTTTTTCCGATAGAAACTTTGAATGTGTTAGATATTCTAAGTAGCCTCTTCCCTTCATATTTTCCGACCAGTACTTCGTATGAATTTCTCATCTTTACCACGCGTTCTACTATCCCCGTCCTCCTTGATGTAATCACCCTCATAATATTTAATGAAGAGTACAAATAATAACTCTCCCCAGCCTCTCGTCACTTCATCCCTTTCAGGTAGCAGACGGAAGACTGAATTGAACGAGAGCTAGCATTTCCAGACTTAATCTTCTGTTAGTTTCTTAATTTCGTCTGTCAAGCCTACTGCTGTTTCCTGTCACATGTTCGAAGGATTTATTACTTATTTTCAAATGCTTTCGCCCTGTATTCTGATGACAAGACACGGACATTCAGACTGTACTCGGTCTATTTCGTGTTGGGACATGCATCACACAGAGCGCAGGCACAAACACTGTCCCTTCATAAAATAGAGAGACTACTTCATTTTAACTGCGTTTGCTTCTATACCAAATATCTTAGTAGCATCTAATAATATATTTGGTGATTTTCTTCATGGTTCGCCCACTAACTTCGTGTCATCAGCACAGACCAGACAGTGTCTTCTGCAAAACTGGGGCATCCGTGTAAAAGGCTGGCGCGTAAAGAAAGTTGTCACATTCATGATTCAATAAAAAAGACGTTTAATCTGAACGTAAAGGTTTATGATTACCCTCCACGCCACTTTATTAAAGCAATAAATAGTCAGAACCGAATGAAGAAAGAGTAGAAGTTTGTCGAAAATGCTCATCTTAATATACATGGACCATATTATTGGAGGATATTAATCAATAACTGTAACATAATATAAGTCTATCTAAAGTTAAAATGCCTTTATGTTATAAAGAGCACGTGTTAAAATCTATAAAAATTCTACACACAAACAAAAAGCCATACTACAATTCAAAATCACGTATTTGACATAAAACAACAAATTAACTGCCAAACTTCGCAGCCCTTTCTATTTGCTAATGATCATTTCTTAATTCCTTGTAGAGAAAACAAAATCCTGGTGCCCGTTTGTATATTACATAGATACCAACACAATTAATGATTACAACATGAAAATGTCCGATTCATAAACTGAAGTAATTTCATTCAAGCAAAAGAAACGTGTAACAGTAAAAAATATTTTAAAAATAAAATGCCCTGATAAAACAAATGAGGGCTTCCGACTTTGTACACTGTAGTATAAATTATTAGAGGCAAATATGATAATATAAAACTAAATAAATGTAGCAGTCCTATCAAGATATAAGGTGCATTCTTCTTCTTCTCCAATTCACGGATTAGGCCGATGACCTGTTCCGGCTTCTATGAAATCCACCTTTGGAGATTTCTTCTTCCTTTGATCCTATACCAAAGGTCTGTTTCGGTATTTGACCTTCTTCCATCCCTTCTACATGTTCTAGCCAATCTTGTTTATGTCTTTTTATTCTGTCATTAATTGAAAATACTCCTAATTCTTCCCTTATGTCTTCAGATCTTGAAAATCGTATTTCCGCTGTCTGTAATTTTTGTATGTCTCTTTTCTTCATTGTCCAACATTCACTTCCATATGGTAGTGCAGCAACAGCCATCACTTCATAAATTCTAAAAGCGATCCTTATGAAAAGCCTATAGAATTAACGACGTGCGGATGCGAATATTGGAGTTACGACAGAAGAAAAGATAATGGAGAAATCAGACATGCATTTCCTCAGAGCGATCGTAGAGCACAGAATGTCAGGTTGTTAAGTAAACTCCTCTGAAACGTCGGTCACTGTCACCACCAATATCGAACTGTGCATTTAAAACATCGCTGCAGAAACTCTTTACCGGATTGCATCAAACGTGAGAAAAAGAGTTAATGCATTCTTCGCTGAACACGGTGGACATTTCCAACACTTAATATAACATTATTTGTTGTTATTTCATTTTAATACAATTTATTCTTTGATAAACAGGACGTGTGTCAGGAATGGGTTGAATGACTTTTTGATCACCCTGTGTAACAAAATAGCAAATGTCCATGACTCTTTGACTCTGTGAGTACGGAGTTCGTGCGATGGGCAAAGAGACTTCTGACAGGGGCGACTCTGTTAGTAAGAAATGTGAGACTATGGTGACACCTGTGGTTGGAGTCGGTCGGTCAGTTTTGTGCCGATGCGTTTGTCAGAAAATTTTGCTTCAGTCGCCAAGAAGATATTTTCACATCTGATTTAGTTTATAAGAAAGTTAATAAATTTTGTTCTTTCAGTACGATTTGCTAAGATAATACTGCAATAAACTGTATTTATTTTTCAAAGAAAAATAAATATTGCCCGTTTGATGGATCGTTCTACGCTTGAAGTAGTTGACATCCATCACCTTCCCCATGTATTATTATTATTATTATTATTATTTATTTTTGACTGCAAATGGGTTTATACCCGGTGGCAGTGACCTACAATAAGATACAAAACAATGAGACACAACAAAAACAATAAAAAAACACAACAAGAAAAGAAAACTATAAGACACAACAAAACAATGAGATACCTCACCACAATGAGACAGAACAAAACAATCAACAAAAGGACACAACAAAAACAATAAGACACAACAAAACAATGAGATACATAGTAAAGATCAGCTCTGATATAAGCTAGAATGGCTTTCAAATTTCTTAGTTTTTCTCATCGACTGTAACTTTGAACTAACTATGTCGTTCCAATACATGATTTTGACGCCAATGAATTTTCATTTGTCCACGGGACGCGATTTGTAGAGAGAATTTTTAAGTTCCCAGTCTCTGTGCAGTTTATGTAACACTTAGAAGCTCAATTATTATCCTTAACCGAAATAACAAATCACTCCAAAATATCTTAATTAAAAGCGATAAAATTACCTTGATACCGAAGTTATAAAAGTATTAAAGAAATCTGTTTAGGCCTACCGGGTACAGGAACGTATTTCAGTATCAATTACAGGCTTGGAAAGACGTCATCAAATGTCAGGAAAACTTATGCCTATATTACAAACAGTGTATAGCTTTTTAACTTCACGCAATAAGGTGTGTAATTACGCATTACTGTGAAACAATACAGAGCGAACACCCTGATGACGGAGGCAATATGACCTCCGAAACGTTGGTAAACATCTACCATACTACACGGCGTAACAACCCAGAAGCAGAAATCTTCATTTAATAAGTAATTAACTAGCTGATTCTTATATTACGTGGATATTCTTGAAAATACTGAGTCACTTAACTAATCAAGAAACCTTTAACCCTTAACAAGAATGTCTGTTACTGTCTTCACAAAAGCCCGATACTGATCTCTAATCCAAATCCCACCAGTTCCCACTTTCCATTTTTAATTGACTTTTCCGCCATTCTCATACCCATGATATATTTCACTCTAACATTATAGTCAAACACGAAAAATTATAGTAGAATAAGAACAATAAATTTGGCTCACAGTTCACACGAGGTGAAATTCCATTTGTGCAGCAACAAGTGGTTCTGGAATCAAGTCTTCCGGGCTTACGACCCCGAGAATTACATATTATTTGTGATGTTATATATACGTTTCTTTTGTGCATAGTTTAAATCATTTTTAATCTTGAAGTGCAGGCCTCCACCTGGAACTTAATTTGGATCTCTTAATGATCACGTCACTTTTCCACAACACCCCCAATTTCTTGTAGACCATTGCCGTGTTCAGCCACGGGTTTGTTACCCGCGATCAAAGTAGAGAGCAACAAGGGGCTTGGATCGCTGTCCAAATCATACTGTACCTGCGCAATGAGACTGTATAACCGAATAGCCACTTCTGTGTAAGGCAGTCAAAAAACAGTGGCGTCCAGAGATCTGTGATGTTAGAAGCCTTGTAACTGTGGTTCCAGTCAGCATCCAGCAGACGCCGCCAAGCCTTGTCCACCGCAGACACGTTGCTAAGCTGATGCACTTGCATCTTCTGGTCGCCAACGCGGTACACCACTGCAGCATACACTGGTGGACGGGGCGAGGACACTGCAATGGCTGAGAGCTCTGGATGTTCTCCCAGTGTCCTGAGAAGATGTTCCACCTCGGAGGACCCTAATACCACTTCCATGGCGATCCGCTTCAGACTGAAAACCCAACCCGGTAAGTTGATCGCGGAACCCAACACGCCCTCGAGGATGTTGGGTACGCAGGAGCCGAGTTGCTCGGTGTCATCTGGCACCAAGCTCCGGTTGGTTCCGCCGACCACTGCACGCACCGCCACCAAGAGCAGAACCAACAGCGAAGCTCTCATCACGTCATCACTCAAGACTGCTACGTGGCCTCTGCGACCAACCGCATGCCTGCAACAAGCCATGAAACGTCTGTTTCATGTTCCTTCGTATTAATGCTAAGAGAGCAGTCTCCGAAACGTTGGCATCTATCAACGAGTCTGCACAACCCAGAAAAAACAGAAACATCGGTAATGGCGCGTGTTTTCTTAGAGGTATGGAAAGTATTTTTAAAATTTCCAACAATAATATACTTTCAACATTTCGTAGAATCTAAATTTCTCCTAAACGTTGGATTACGACTTTTTACCCAGAAAGGCAGAGCTGAATATTTGACTTCGCGAATTCTTTTTCACTGTTACGATATTCCTGTTTGTTCACTACCCTCTTGACCCAACGGATAGAGATGAGCGATATATCGATAACAGTAATTTAATCGCTGTCATCGAAAAAAATCTTCACAACTCACCAGTCTCTCTGATGTAAAGCGATGACAGATGTCGCTGTTATTTTTCACTGCTTACGTACAGAAAGCAACTACCTAACCTCAAACTGCGTAGGGGCTGGGGTGTTATTGATATGAATTCATTAGTGGATAGTTTAAACGAAATGGCGTAGACTGCAACAGTTCCCGGGTTTTGGCTTCTAGATAATCCACAATTACGAAGAAAATAGTCAAAGAGATGACATCAAGAAAAGTCGTGGAATGTTTGAGGAATTTAACCATTTCCTCATAGAACTTCGAGAAGAGTCCGCAACGCTTTTTGCTGGGGAAGGGGGTTATGCATGTTCGTCGCAACATTCTTTATAAATTTCGAGAAACCAATTTCCTCAGAATAATAGCTTTGTGTCACACTGCCGGAAGTAAAAATAAAAAAGGCTTTGTAATAATGTGATTCAGGGTCGTCCTTAAGATGGGGATATCAGGTCGGCCACCCCGGATTCCGTGCATCGAAATATATTGTGTACATCGTCACCTGGAGTGCCGAAGTAAAATGGGAACAAAAATACCGAATTGGAACAAATAAGAAGGAATACCGAGTTTAAATATGCAGACTAAAGAATAAGTTCTCATGTCAAGTGAATCCTTCCGCAGTATGACCTCCGAAACGTTGGTGGAAATCTACCAGACTACACAGCACAGTAACCCAGAAGACAGAAATCTTCTTGATACATCTTTATGTAACTTACAAATCAAGCCTTTGTTGTAATACTCGTAACCTGCATTAAGTACAGCCATTTTGCAACTTGTCCTGTGGCGGGAATCTGTGATCATTACAAACCCAAGGTCCCATCAGCCTAAAATATCGAGCGAGTACGAGGGTCGACAAAAGACTGTCGGCTGCTGGCTTGAGTTGCGAAGCAACAAATTGATTTACTGACGTCAAACTCATGACTCTGGACAGACACTCCGTGAGGCTATCCATTAAAACAATGGAAACGAAGCAACAACGAATTTACAGGTGCATGTTCTCTCTTCAGCACGCGAGCATGATCCTAGTGCAGATTTACACGACAAGAAAAGTCAGTCGGAAAACGTAAAGTTACTTTTGTGAATCCAGCGACATTTTATTCCTCACGGGTCTTTCTATCGTGCACTGCCGAGATAAATGTAAAGCGAAAACAATCAACCATTAATAGGACCAATATACGTCACACTTCATAACAAGAAACTTACCTTGATGTACATCCTTAAATATATACGAGGTGCGATCGGAAGGTTTCCAGACTGCGCGTATAAAAACCCGTACACTTATCTCAGGTATTAAATTCATCCATCACCCTCGAAGTAGTTCCCCTGGGAGTGAACACAACGATCCCAGCGCCG